TTCTAAACCATGTCACTGGTAAAATCTCCTCCCCAAAGATCAAGTTATTGGTTTAATTTGAGTCTTAATATATTTGTAAACTTCAAATCAGCATATTTTAATTACTTATATGCTAATAAACATTATATTCTACAAGGAAGTTAATTCAGAGCCCTCCCAGTTATACAGTCTGCCCCTAACACATGCCAAGTCAGACACAGCTACATGCATTAATTTTGAGAATATGTCCATAACAGTCTGGAAATGTTCAAGTTCATTTCCTGAGCACTCGTGTCTCCAGCCCCCTTGGTACAACGTATGTCTGTGTTGAAACAATAGATTCAAAATAAACAACAATAGCACAGTGACTATGAAACCAAAGAACCAGAACTTGAGTTGCTTCAATTCTGTCATTCCATGGGACCACTTAAAACTTTTGTATTTAAAATTTAAAACAGTGAAACAAGGAGAGAACTACAGTGTGCTAACTGCAAATTTTATTATTTAGTAAAATTGTATTATTATATTATTATTATTTAGTAAAAATGTCTTACTGAATTTAAATAATATATTTAATATTGAAATGGATTCTTATTTTTAAAGTGTTTTCTTGTTTGTTTTTAAATTATAATATAATTAATGTAATCTAATGTAATTGTTATTGCAACAGACCACTTTATAAGTATGTTTTTATTTTCTTTTTTTCAGAGAAATATATAAATGTAATTGAAAATTACTGATCTAATACTCTTTTCCTTTCTTGTATTTTAATATTTATTTTTACTGACATGATTACATATATAAAGTTAACTGAAAGAATATTTTCACCATCTCCATTTCTTTTCTGGCCATTATCATTAGATTACTCATTATATTTCATGACTGTTACTGAAAATAATGTCATTTAGAGGAGGTTGGTGTTAAAAAATGATCTGTTCCGAGTGTCAGATGAGCTAGGCGGGCTGCTGGTGCACTGAAGAAAAAAACAACATGGAGGCAGGAGAGCTACAAGGAGGCAGATAGAGGTGGGAATGCTGGAAAGGGTGAGGGAATGTGTGGGGAGGCAGCAGGGCTCATTCCACAGACTGAAAAGAGGCCTGTGTCACTGGAAGCTGGCTCAAGACAGAGAAAGTGGGAGAGGAGGTCAGATGGGTGAGCAGGGGTCAGACCAAGCTTGGCCTGTTAGGCCAGGTTAAAGTCTGCTGTTTATCTTGAGAATAATGGGGAAGCCATTGAAGAGTTTGTTTTTTTGTTTGTTTTGTTTTTTTTCCACTGAATTGTTTTTTTTCCACTGAAGGGTTTTAAGAAGGTAAGAGACACAGTCAGATCTGTGACTGGAAAATCTTATCACACTGGCTTCAGGGAAGAAAATGGAATGGAAGCAGACCTGGTGGGTGCAGGGACCAGAAAGGAGACTAGGCAGGTGCCCAGATGAGAGATGATGGTGGCCTGGACTGGTGGGGTAGTGGTGGTCATCATCTCTCCAAGAACCTCACTGCCTGCCTACTGCAGTCTGGATTGAACAGCTCAGTGGTGAGCCCAGCCTTGAACTCCTGTGGTCTGTAAGGTTTAGACTCTTGGGCCACCTATTTGAAAGGACCTAGGGTAGTCTGTGTGCACTTATAACCACATTTCATTGACAGACTGGAGTTTTGGGTTTTGTTTTCCAAAATTTTACTTCTTTCTCTGGGCTTCGATAAGAATTTGAGTGCACTCATCATAGAGCAAGGACTTTGATTCATTCAGTATACTCATTGAGCACCTACTGTGTGCCAGGAACTCTCCTAGGGATAAAGCAGTAAACAAAACAGACAAAAATCTCTGCCTGCTTGGAGCTGACATTCTAATGTAGAGGAAATGGGAGGAAAACAAGTGAACAAATAAAATAATTGATGCTGTGGAAGGTGCTATGAAGAAAATAGAAAGGGTGATGAAAGAGAAGAATGCAACCAAAATTGAGATATCTGATAGTACCAAACTTTGGACAAGATGTGGATGAAAAGGGAAAGTAAATTGGTGCAACCTGAAAGTTAGGCGTTACCTTGTAAAAGTTAGCAGTCACATGTCCTCAGAGGTGCCATCACACTTTCCATGAGATACTGGGGACACCTTCCTGCACTTGAGCACCAGAGACACATCTAGGATTGTTAATAGTAACACTCTTCATAAGAGCTAAAACCTGGCAATAATCCAAATGTCAGTGGACAAGAGAATGGGTAGGAAAGTTGTGGTATATTCCCACCCACGGTGGAAAATGAACATACCTCACACAGGTGCCATAATTTAGATGGATCTTGACACTGTAATATTGAGTGAGACACTAAATACCAGAATATTACATACAGCATGATACCCTTTTGATAAAGCTAAAAGCAAGAGGATACATTTTTAAGAAAATACATTTTAAAAAGTAAGAGAAAGGAAAAGTTGGAACCTTCATACACTGCTGGTAGGAATGTAAAATGATGCAGCAAATCCACGGAGACAGAAAGTAGATTAATGGTTGCCTAGAGCTGGGGGTTAGAGCAGAGGTAGAGGAGATAGAGAAGTGACTGTTAATGAGTACAGTTTCTTTTGGGGATGATGAAAATATTCTAAAATCGATTATGGTGATGGTTGCATAACTCTGAATAAACCATTGAATCGTACACTTTAAATAAGTGAATAGTATGGTATGTGAATTATATCTCAATAAAGCCATTAAGTTTTTTTTTAAATGTGAGGGAAGATTCAGGATAGACATTACTTCAGGCGAGGTAAGGCAGGGGATGGGACGGAAAAGGAGTTCATAGGGGAAGGAAAGTTATTAGCAATGTTCCGTTCTTGTCCTGGGTTGATTTCACTGGTTGTTAGAATATTACTTACAAATAAATACATGCAAACATAAAATGAACGTAATCATGGACATTGACAAAAATGTGTCACAGACAAGCAATGCTGTGCACCTGAGATTGTAAGGTGACAGGAGAGGGTGAGCAATAGCAAAGCGGTCAGGGCAAGCCTCTCTGGACAGTCCACCAGAGCTGAGGTTAGAATGAGATGGGCCAGCATGTAGAGATAGGGGTGAAGAGTTTGCCGGGCAGAGGAGACAGCATGTACAAAGGTCTTGAGGTAGGACCAAGTCTTCTGTGTTTCAGAAACATCCAGGAGGCCAGTGTGTAAATAATAATAATAATAATAATAATAATAATAATAATAATAATAACAACAACAGCAGCAGCAGCAGCAGTTACCCGGCCAGAATAAGACCTTTGAGAGGCCCCAGCACTGAAAAGATGGCAGTGCCCATGTCATTTAAAATAAAACGAATATTAAATGGGAAAAGTGGAAGTGTTAGAAAATAATTGAAAAAAGCTTTTATTTTTCTCATGATCATTATTTTGATACGTTTTTGAAATGTTAAATCCATCCCCGCCAATTTTTTTATGTTGGTGTCTACGTTGTTAGTGCCTTAAGTACCAGTTAACTAATATTTATTGAGTATTTACTAGGCGTCAGGATATTTACATCCAAATCCCATTAATTTGTAAAACAACCATATGAGGGAGAAACTTTTTTCCCCATTTTAAGATAAGCAAAGGAGGTATCAGGATATGAATACAGTAACTCTGAATCCAACGAGCACTGAACCGGCCAGGCTGCCGTTGTGAGTGTTCAAACGTGGGTAACGCCAGATTTCAGCGAACAATTTGGTCAGGAGCAGGGCCTTCTCCTTCTGAGTGCCCTGCGCCTTTAAGAGTCGCCCACTCCCGCCGGCGATGCTCCAATTTCTCTCCCGGGCACCCAGAGCATCACCCCGCCCCCCGCGTCTGCGGAGCTGCACCTCCACCCTTCTTCCCCGCCCTTCACCCACCCGCTGGGCTCTCAGCTCCCTCCCGCCGAGTGATGGGTTAGGAGGATATGAGTCCCTCCAGAGGCACATACCCCTCCTGTCCGAACGGTGCCCACTACTCCCCAGCAGAATGCCACTTTAGATCCCCTAATCCCGACCCCTCCCAGCTCCTGATTCCGAGGGGCGAGGCCTCAGGCCCCCTCCCATCGCCCAGGCCCACGGCGCCGTGAAGGTGACCTCCCCCGGGGGCAGCACACGCCCAGCGGTGCCCAAGCCCGCTCACACGTGGTGAGCGGGTAGCGCGCAGCCCCTCCCCGCCACGCGCCTAGAGCGTGCGTCTCGGACACGCCTCTTGGCCTGGCTCCGCCCCCGTGCCCGGGCACAAGTCACCAGACCCAGGAGGGGCGTCGCGCCGTAGTCCCGCACAGGGCTGTCCACGGTGTGGGGTAGGACCTAGGCTTGGGGCACCCCTCTCATCCTCGAACCTCGCCCGAGGACTGTGAAAAGTCGGAAGTCCTCCCAGTTCAGGACCCTCGGTTGGCAGGCGAGGTGCCCTAGGGCCTCCGTTCGCTGAACAGGGAACAGAGCTGGGACCGCGAGCCTAAAATTGGAGCCCTAGTTTGCATGCCCTCGGTGTTTCCTATCAGAAAAGTGAGCATCATAGTCCCTTCTTTCTCAGGATTCAACTGGCGCCTCGAATGAGATAAAAAATATGAAAGGGTTCATTGGATCCAAAAGCATTTCTTGAGCTCCTGTGTGGCTGGACCCTATGTGTACTAGGCAGAGGCTATAGCTATTAACACGATGACTTTGACCCCTTAAGGAGCTCTTCTGAGCCTGAGTCCCCCCACATTCTGAGGCGGTCCAAAATGACACCCCCGAATGAGGGGGAAGTCCTACCTGGCGGCAGGTGTCACTGAATAAGCTAAAATTTCAAAGGCAACACAGGGCGGAGTCAAGCTTTCGGAGCCAGATGGGAAGTACGCTCGGCGTCCCCCCACCCTCCCTCCAGTACCTAGCCTAAGAAAAGAAACCGACCTCATCCGACACCCCCAATCCCAGCCCCGAGACCGCCCAGCCCCGCAGCCCGAGCCCCGCCCCGCTCCGGCAGGCAGCGATTGGGAGATGCAAATACCAGGTTCTCTGCCCAGCAACGGGTGACGCGTCGCCAGAACGCGAGGCGTGGCCCGGCCGCAGCCCAAGCGGGCACCTCGGTGTTTACACGGGGCGGCCCCGCGCGCGCCGCAGCGGCCCGCAGACGGCGAAGGGGAGGGGTTGCGCGCGCGCCGGCGGGGCCGCGCGGGGAAAAAGACACTGGAAGGAGCCGGGCGGGGAGCGGCGCGCGCGGGCCGCGGCGGAGCAGGAGGCTGCAAGGAGAGCCCGCGGGAACACTGGGGGTGCGAGTCCTCCGCCCCCGCAAAACAATGTGTGGCGTGCAGTGGGGTGCAACTTGCCGAAGGCGGCGGGGGCGCGCTGAGCCTGCCTGAGACCGCGCCACTGACCTTCTCCCCCCGCCGTCCGTTGGGCGAGAGCGCCCAGCTCCTCGCTCCCCAGCTCGCGGGGGCCGGGCCGAGCTGCGGGGCGGGGCCGCCCCTCCGTCGCTGCTGCCTCCTCCCCCACCCCCAGCCGCGGAGGATGCGGACGGCCCCCGGCGGCGTCTAGCGGCCCCGGGCCCAGGCGCGATGGTGCAGCAGCGGGGCGCGCGGGCCAAGCGGGACGGCGGGCCGCCGCCCCCGGGGCCCGGGACGGCCGAGGAGGGGGCGCGTGAGCCCGGCTGGTGCAAGACCCCGAGCGGCCACATCAAGAGACCAATGAACGCGTTCATGGTGTGGTCTCAGCACGAACGGCGGAAGATCATGGACCAGTGGCCCGACATGCACAACGCCGAGATCTCCAAGCGCCTGGGCCGCCGCTGGCAGCTGCTGCAGGACTCGGAGAAGATCCCGTTCGTGCGGGAGGCGGAGCGGCTGCGCCTCAAGCACATGGCGGATTACCCGGACTACAAGTACCGGCCGCGCAAAAAGAGCAAGGGGGCGCCCGCCAAGGCGCGGCCCCGCCCCCCCGGCGGCGGCGGCGGTGGTGGCAGCCGGCTCAAGCCCGGGCCGCAGCTGCCTGGCCGCGGCGGCCGCCGAGCGGCGGGAGGGCCATTGGGGGGCGGCGCGGCGGCGCCCGAAGACGACGACGAAGACGACGACGAGGAGCTGCTGGAAGTGCGCCTAGTCGAGACCCCCGGGCGGGAGCTGTGGAGGATGGTCCCGGCTGGTCGGGCGGCCCGGGGACCAGCGGAGCGCACCCAGGGGCCGTCGGGCGAGGGGGCAACTGTCACCACCTCCTCCCCGACTCCGTCGGAGGACGAGGAGCCAGAGGAAGAGGAGGAGGAGGTGGCGGCTGCGGAGGAAGGCGAAGAAGAGACGGTGGCGTCGGGGGAGGAGCCGCTGGGCTTTCTGTCCAGACTGCCCCCCGGCCCCGCCGGCCTGGACTGCAGCGCCCTGGACCGCGACCCGGACCTGCCGCCTCCCTCGGGCACGTCGCACTTCGAGTTCCCGGACTACTGCACCCCCGAGGTTACCGAGATGATCGCAGGGGACTGGCGCCCGTCTAGCATCGCCGACCTGGTTTTCACCTACTGAGCCCACCGTCAGCGGGGCGCGCACGCCCCCAAACCAGCTGTTTACATACAGGAATCAGGTATTGGGGCCCCTCGGAGGCCGAGGCTGGCACCCATATTCCGCGCAGCCTCCCCCCTCCCAGACGTGCCCATCCCCCTCGAGTCCAGTCATGCCCCTCCCCCGCAGACACACCCCAAAGGCAGCCCAACCCCCACCCTTTCCCTGACATCCAGGCCCCTCCCCGTCTTGCCCTCTCCTGCACAGCCACCAGCAGCCAGCCCCCCTCCGATACACCTCCCGTCCTCCTACAGACCTGTGCGCCCCTCCCCCACTATGCACAAGCCCCTCCTCTTGGCCGGAGGACACGCCCCTGCCTTTGCTCCTGAGTCCCTCCGCCTTCGCCTAGCTCGCCTCCTTTCTTGTTTAGGGGGGCGCTGCAGCCGGCGGCCCCGCGCACTCCTTCCATGCCCCGCCCCTCCCAGGGTGGGGGAGGGGCGCGCTCCTTTCACCCCGGGAGCGCTGGAACCCGCCTCCTCCTCGCGCATGCTTAATGCTTCTTGGGAGGAGAGGGCTGGTCCCTGTCGAACCGCTCGCCTCCGTGGCCCGCTCCTGGGAGAAGCGGAGCGGGTATTGAGTGATCCTGAGAAATCTTTTGATCCGGGAGCCGCGGCTTCCTTTCAACCCGACGGGGCGTCACTGCCTTAATGGGAGGAGCACTAGGAAAGGGGAGAAAGGGACTAGCTGGCCCGGAAGGGTTGGTTTGGAGCTTGGAACTCTTCCCAATTGGCATAGCCCCCTTTCACTTACGGGGTTGCCCAGATCCACGTGGACCTCCCACACCGACTGCTTGAATGCCCCTACAGCCTATCTTGGTCCTCAGAAACCTACCTTTCATTCCCCCATCTGGGAATTGGGAATAGGGTCTTTCTCTGGAAATTCACAACGACAGGAAGGGGCTGCCCGAGAAAACTCAGAGACAAGACAGATACCAGTCTGTTTGGAGACAAGGTCCCTGCTTGTCTCCCCCCACCACCACCACCCCGGGGGGAAGTGCCGTGTCACCTCAGGGCAAACTCCCAACCTGGGCTCCTCCCAAAGCCCCACACCCTCTTCCTATCACCCAAGTCCCTCTGTGCCCGCAGTGACAGTATTCAGTGGGAGAAACTGCGGCGCGTTGCTACTAGCTGGTTGAGACTGAGGCTTGATAGCAGATGGATGGCAAGAAGAACCCCACCTTTAAGCAGCTGGCTTGAGAGACCATCGACTGGACCAGTGAGACTGAAGGACGGTCAGAGCAGTGGAGGTGTGCCCTGTGCGCCTCAGTTTTTCCATGCGAAAAATAGGGATAGCGCTGCTGTAGGAGGAAGTTGTGTCCAGTTTGGGGTGCCTTCCGGACCCTGTCCCTGATGTTACCCCCTCTTCCTCCAACTCCCCACTCCAACCTGCCCCTCCGGCCTCCCCCACCCTTGCCCTCACTACCTGTATCTCACCGGCGTGTGTTCACCCTCCCAGGTGTGCACACACTCTCATTCACACACACAAATCTCAGGAACAAACGGTCCCAGAGTCCTCCGGGACCCCTGCCCAGGGTCTCTGCAGGTCTCTGCCCCACGCGTTCCCGTCGCTGACAAAGCCACCAGCTGCCTCCTTTAAGCTTGGTGCTCCGGCTCTGGGCCTTTATCGCGCGTTCTTCTCTCTTGTCTCTTCTCTCTCTTTTTTCTTTCTTTCTCTCTCTTTTTTAAGAAAAAACAACCACCACAAAAAAAAAAAAAAAGACAATGAAAAAAAAAAAAACCAGAAAATGTCATGTGAGTGAAGAGATGTCTGTCTGTGGTCTTGGAGAACTAGTCTCATAGCTGAGGGGAGGGATCCCTCCCATCTGGGGCACTGGCACCCACCGCAGGACTTCCGCCAGTCTGATGCCAGGACTGAATAAAGTGTATTTGCCCCGACCTCGCCCTGTGGTTCTACATGTCTGTGCCTTTCCTCAACCCTCCCCATTTTGCCAGATTCAAGTCCGTTGATTCAGCACCATGCAGGAAGAGTTAGGGGTCCTAGGCCAAGGCACCTGGCCCCTCCAGGCCTCTTGTCTCCCTCTATCTCAGGACTCCCTGGTCTTCATTAAGGATGGCAAACTCATTCCTGCAGGGGCCAGACAGGTAACATGAATGAAAATATCTGGGTGGACACTGGCTTCATGACCCACTTTCAAGGGGGGCAACTGCTCACCTCCTGCCAGTTGTGAATCGGGGAATGCAGCCCACAGTGGCCAGGTGGCTAGATTTTTCAAGAGAAGGTGGAAATCTGGATGTTTCTGTGAACATCTCAATTTCAAAATGAAAGCTGACTGAAATATTTTTAAATCCTTATGGACCAAATGTAATGTGTGCAGGCACACCTGGTCCAAGGGGGCCGATTGATTTGATCCTGATGTTAATGAGGATTAAGAAGCAGGGTTGGGCTACATTGTCTGGACTCAAAGCCCAGCTCCACTACTGAGCACCTGTGTGACCCTGAGCAAGTTCACTTAACCCTGACGCTATATGTGTAACTTGGGGATGATAATAGTACCGGCTTCATAGGGTGAAAAGAAGTTTGAGGTGAGAACCATTTAACATGGTGCTCCATAAATTGTATTACTCCCTTTTCCAGAAGAAGACCCCGAGGGTCAGAGTGGTGAGGCAACTTGCAGGAGGTCCTGCAAGCAGCCAGAGTAAGAGGGAGCTCCAGATCTTGGCTTTGTCTCCTGGTGAAGTGTTACTTCAGGGTGCTGCCTGTTTGAATCTGCAGATGGTATTAGGCTGTCAGCTCAGAACCTGGAGTGGTGGATGGGGTTGGTCCCAGTGCCTGGCACATAATTGGCCCAAAGTATAATTTATTGAATGAGTAAAGAAAAGCAATAAGTCACTGTTCCTCTCCTTGAGATTCTTACCAGTGAATATTGGAAGACCAAAGCTGATTTTCAAAAAACTTTTGTTCCTTAACACTCCTCCCCCTAATTCTTCCTCTACCACATCCAGTGAATTCTTAAGGTTGGACAAAGTGTAGTTCCCCAGTAGAACCAAGGCTAAGTGTGCAGCTCATTCAGAGAGGATATTTGGGGACTGGGATACCCATAGACACTTTAAAGGGGGACTAGAGCAGGTTTAGGAGGGCTGGGGACTTACAGAAAGGTGGCCTGGGGGTGGGAGGGTACAGGAATTACAGTGACTGCTTTCTCTCAGCCTGTCCAGTTGGAAGCAAGATGGCCAAAAAAATATATATATATATCCTATAAGAAAGAGTTGAGGTGTGGAAGACAGAGATAAGTGTCACTCACCCCCTTTGAGGAAGGACTTCCCGGCTGTGGGAAGTGTCAGCTCTTTGAGGGTCTGTTCCAGCTGCAGAGAGCCGCTTCACTCTGCTCAGCCTACATCTGGTGTCTGAGTGAGATCAGGTACAACTGCCTGGCCATTTCAGTTCAGTGTGAGACAGACACTAGCAGGCAGCACTTGTACTGTCAGCCTTCACACCCCCCTCCCTCCGCTACATCAGGGCCCCTCCAGGTTAGTGGATGCATTGCCAGGCCTGCAGGGCAGTTTGACTTCCTGTACCCAATCCTGCTCCCTCCTTCTTCTTTTCACAGGTGTTCATCCCTAATAAATATCTTACACTCCAAACCCCGTCTCAGTGTCTGTTTCTGGAGAACCCAGTCTGCAACGGGGTTGGACAGAGGGCACTGGCACAGCAACCGCAGCCAGGCACCTCTGATGTCCTCACCCTCAGGAGTGGGTGTCAGGAGACTTCCCTTCTTCACCACCAACACCACCAGCCTCAACCTCGGGACTGTATCTTTCCCAGTCAGCATCACATAGAATCTCCAGCCTCTGTTAGCAATTCACTCCAGAGCCCTCTGCTGATGTTCTTATTCGTAGGCCCTCCCCTGGTCAGAGCTGGAGAGGAGGAGGTTATCAGTCTGTGTTTGCCCTTCAGAAAGCCCTGGGAGGGTGCAGGGCAAAATCCCTAGCCTGAGACAGTGCTGGAGCCCTGTGGGACCTTGGGCCAGGCTCGTCCCCTTTGCAGGCCTTAGTTTCCCCATATGTAAAGTGGGGGAGGGGAAATGGGAATAGAAGAGAGACCCTTTATTGTTATTTTGGTTCCTTCCATTTCGGGGAGAAATGGATTCCGACCTGTGAAAGATGGGGAGACCTGTGTATGTGGACTCTGGGGACACCTAGTGGCTGAAAGAAGTAGAAAGTGGGTTCGGGGGGGAGGGGCAGGATTTGTCCCACTACAATTTCACTCCATTCATGCAATCATGGACTCATCCGTCAGGGGCCTTGCCTGGGCTGTTGGAGCCATCTTGGTTCCAAGACTTTAAAGGCACTTGCTGTATACACTGATGTGTTGGGTATTGCTGCATAACAAATTGCCAGAAACCTAGCAACTTAAAACAACATGTGTTTATTACTTCTTAGCCCCTGTGGGGTCAGGAGTCCAGATATGCCTTAGCTGGGTTCTCTGCTCAGGATCTCCCAAGGCTGCAGTCAAGTTGTTGGTCAGGTGGTGTTCCTTTCTGGAGCTCAGTGTCCTCTTCCAAATTCATAGGGTGGTGAGCAGAATTCATTCAGTTCCTTGTGGTTAAAGGACTGAAGTCCCTGTTTTCTTACGGGCTGTCAGCCAGGGCCACTCTTGATTCCTAAGAGCCACTCACAGTTTTTCTTCACAGACCCTCAGCATGGCAGCTTATTTTGTCAAGGCCAGCATGCGAATCTTTCCCAGCTTCGTGTCCCTTGACTCAGGGAAGGCTCTTTTTTAAAGGACTTGCTTGATTTGATCAGGCTCATCCAAGAAAATCTCTCTTGATTAAAAAATCACCTAATTTGAGACCTAGGTCACATCTGCACAATTCCTTCACCTTGGCCATATAATGTAACCTAATCACAAAAGTACACTCATCATACTCACGGGTCTTGTCCACGTTGGGGGAGGGGCATGCACACCAAGGATGGGAATCTTGGGAGCCATCTTAGAATTCTGCTTATCTTAGCTGTGGATTCTTGGGTCTATAGCTACATCCCAACATTACCAGACTTCTATGTCTAGTTGCCTTCTTATCTCCACTGGGATATCTAATTGGCACCTCGAACTTGGCATGTCTAAAAATGAATTCTTGTTTCCACAATGCTCCCAAGTTTGCTCCCCAATACCATGTCTTCACATCTCATATTAGTAAAAGGCCAAAAACCTCTCCGTTGACTCCTTTTTTCCTTGTAGCTTCATATCCTTTGGCTCTGCCTTCCAAATGTGTCCTGTGTCCTGTCACTTCTCACCTCTTCCATTACCACCCTTCTCCTGGTCCCGGCCCTCGACAGCTTTTGTCTGGGAGCTCGTACCAACCTCCTCACTGGACTCCTTGCTTTCTCCTTTGCCCTGCTTACAGTTTTATTGTCCATACAGCAGCCAGAGGGATCTGGTTAAACTATAAAGCAGACCATGTCTTGCCTCTGCTCAAAACTCTCCAATTGTCCCCATCTTATTCAGAATAAATACCAAAGTCTTCAGCATATCCTCCAAAGCCCTATATGATCTGGTCTGTCTGTGGCCCACCTTGGGACTCCTACCACTTTTTCCTTCTCTCACCATACTCCAGCCGTACTGGCTTCTTGCTGTTCCTCAAAACTGCCAAGCACACACCCACCTCAAGCACTTGGCGCATTCTGTTCATGCTGCTTGAATTGCTCTTCTCCCAGATATTCACATGACTTAGCCCCTCACTTCCTTCAAGTCTCAGCTCCAATGTCACTAACTCAAAAAGGCCTTTCCCGAACATTCATATAAACCATCATCACCCCCCTTATGCTATCCCCTTACTTTGCTTTATTTTTCTTAATAGCATTTATCACTATCTGGCATTTATCACATATAGTTTTAATTTTGTATCTGTCTCCCAAATTAGTATGGAGACTTCATGAGGAAGGAATGACATCTACACTAGACTCCATGCGCTGGTTCAGTTATTTGCTCATTCCCGCACCCATTCAACACACATTTATTAAGGGTCTGCTTTTGTTAGACTCTGGACACAGAAAGGTGAAAAAGACAGGTGTGGTCCATCCTAGAAAGACATACAAACACGGGGATAGAAATGCACTGATGGACATGGGCAGCGGGGCTAGGGGAACGCAAGAGGCACTTAATCCAGGCATAGGGCAGGCAGGGTGTGGTCAGCTCACTTCCCGGAGGAGGTAATGTTTAAGCTGTGAGACCTCAGTGAGATGTTGTGGTTTTAGAACATGGCTGTAAGCTCTTTGACATTCCTTCCATAAACGTGTCCTTCCCCTTGAATCTTGGCTGGCCTTCATGATTCACTTGTAACTAATAGGATACAGTAGAACGATGTTGTAGGTTTCCAAGGCTAGTTACACTGAACCACCGTGTAAGAAGCCCAACAACCCTAAGACCACCATGTGGTGAGGAAGCCCAAGATACGTGGAGAGACCACGTGTAGGCGCTGCAGGAATGCAGACACCGGACCAGGGGCCAGACACATGGGCGAAGAAGCCTCCAAGTAATTCCAGCCCCCTGTCATTCAAGTCACTCCCAGGTGTTATAGTCTTTCCAGCTGAGGCCCAGCTATCATGGAGCAGAGACAAGCCACGCCCTCTTGCCTTGTCTGAATTCCTGGCGCACAGTGTCTATGAGCATAATGAAATGGTGGTTATTCGAACTACTGAATTTGTGGGCTGCAATTGTAACTAAAACAGTAGGATGAGGCAGATTCAGGGGAAAGAAAAGCTTTCCAGACACTAGTAACAAGTAGGAAGACTTGGCAAGAGAGGCTGACGTGGAAAGAAGTCAGTTACGGCTGGAGAGGGTGGTGGGACACAGGAAACAGATTAGCAAAAGCATGAGAGGCTTGAAAGCATTTGAACTTTCTCCGGAGTCTCCACACTGCACCCTGAAGGGTTTT